GCAAGGGGGCTCAGGCCACAGCCCCCACTCACTGGAGGGGAAGCCCCATCGCCCCTCTGCTGGTGTGTGTGGAAGGGAAGGGGGGATCCTCTCGGTGACATTTCATAGATTTCACAGGCATTCAGGCTGGAAGGGACCTCGGGAGATCATCGGTCCAGCCCCCCCCCCAGGGGCAGGAAGTCAGCTGGGGTCAGAGGATCCCAGCAAGACAGACATCCAAACGTCTCTTAAAGGAGCCCAGAGCAGGTGCTTGCACCACCTCCGGCGGCAGTCTGTTCCAGGCCTTGGGGGCGCGGACAGTAAAGAAGTTCTTCCTTATGTCCAGCCTGAAACGGTCATGGAGGAGTTTGTGCCCGTTTGATCTTGTCATCCCTTGGGGCGCTCTGGGGAACAGGTGTTCCCCCAGATCCTGATGTACACACCTTATATACTTGTAGGTAGCCACCAAGTCCCTCCTGACCCTGCGCTTTTCCTGGCCTGCCAGCCTGTGCTCCCGCTCGGAGTGGGGGGCAGATAGGCAGCTGCAGCCTGTGGTGGGTGGGGAGTCGGGTGCTCTGGGTCAAGTACTGGGGATGGGTGGTGTGAGGCCTGTGAGGGGGGTTGGGGAGCAGGGGCAGCGCCAGCTTCTCTCCCCAGGAGCCTCGGCCCCATTGATGCGGCCGCGATGAAAAGGGAACAGCTGGCGGCCTTGATCCAGCCCCGCAGGGTCAGAGTCGTCTCTGGCTGTGGGCCCCTGCCACCACCATTGGTGATAAAGTCCAGCCCACACATTTGCCTGCACAGGGGCTGCGCTAAGCCAGGGGTGGCACACCTGGGTGGTCCTGTCCATCAGCCCAGGGCCTCCATGAGCAGACCCCTGCCTGAGGGCTGGAGATGATGCCGCAAGCACAGGTGGAGGAGCTTGGCCAGTCAGAAGGAAGATAAATGCCTGGTCAGTCCTGAGAAAGGGAAGAGGCTGTGTATGAAAACCCTTTAATCTAGCAGTGAAGAACAGGACAGGAACCGGTGGCTGGCAGCCACAGTGAACCATTCTGGTGGGAAACAAGGCACAAATTTAACAGCAAGGGCAGAGGAGACAGAAGCTCCCTCAGGAAGGATGGGATTCTCCGTCTCTTTGTGCCTCGAGGTCCAGGCCGGTGCCTTCTCAGAAGGTGCTTTACTCAAACCAGCCGCTGGGTTCAGTGCAAGGTCTGGGTTGGAGTCACTGACCCTGGAGGTCTGGCCTCGGAGCCTCAGCACCTGCAGTTCAAAGCAAAGGGTCCTCGAGGGCCCTTTTTTGCTGATGGGAGAAAGCTGGCACAAGGGCAGCACTAGCTCACACCAGTGGTAGAGCTGGCCTGGGGTGGGGGTGGACGCAAGGGGCTGTTGGCCCTGTGGAAATGGCCCTTGGGGGAATTGCCATGCATCTAAGGGGGCTTGCTAGACCTGAGAAAGCACTGCTCCACCACTCGAGCTGCACTGCCTGGTGTGGCAAGGGCTTGGAGCAGCCTGTCCTTCAATGCAGCAACACACGCGGTGATACAGAAAAAATGTTGCCCACGCTCGTGAGATGGGGAACTGCAGCAAGGGCTGTAGTGACACAGGAGAGGGTTTGGGGCTCACAGAAGTGGAGTGAACATGGGATCCCAGCGTGATGCTGCAGCTGAGGGCATGGATATAACTTACCACGGGCAAAAGGGGTTGGGGCTTTCCCAGGCATCAGCCACTGCTTGTCTGGGTGTGCTTACTGCACACGAGGCAGAGGCTGACCAGCCTCACCCCTCCCAGCTCCCCCTGTAACTGGTAAGTTGTTCATACATCTGCCCCCTGAGGCAAGCGCAGTCCTCCCACAGGCAGGCGTCTCTGGCTGCTGCGACACCATTAGTGGCACTGGGTTCAGTGCTGGACTCTGCATTCAGAAAGCTGGAAAGGGTTCAGAGCTGCAAGAACAGTCCAAAGTCTGGAAAACAAACCTCACTGTGACAGGGAGAAGCAGCATGTTCTCTTTGGTGTGGATAAAGAAAACAGAAGGGTGTGGGCTTTAGGTTTGGACAGCAGGCAGTAGGCCTGTGCGAAGCAACAAATATTCGCTTTGGATTCAGATTCAGCCAATTTGGTGATTCGAATTACTGTCCCAGTTCAATTCAGCTGATTCGGATTCAGAGATTCAGCACCGATTCGGCCATAGACTATAATGGGGAATCACTAAAATACCTATAACTTTGCCACTGTTTTGCAGATTCAGATGAAAACAGCAGGGATGGTAGGGCATGCAGCCTGCCAAGTTTCAAGGAGATAGGTACAGGGGTTCTGTGAAAGTGCCCCTCGAACTGTTGAAAGCAGAACTCGTATCACTTGTGTGTGTTAAGGCAGAGCGGGATGGAAACAGCAGGGATGGTCCCTGCTGATGGAAGGGAACTCGGAGAAAGATCAGTCACTGGCCAGCTACAGATATCAATATCAGGGCAGCCTTCCCCCCCTCCCAGCCTTTTCTATATACAGAAGATCACCCCACCCCCCTCCCTCTTCTCAGTTTCTGTTTGCTGCAAGCCTTCCAAAGCTCTCTGAATCAATTTGGACCTTTTAATGGATCTCCCAATTTGATTTGGATTTGGAGATTTGGTCGCTGAATCGGGCCAAATCTCCTCCAAATCAAATCAGCTACTGAAGCTTTGCACAGCCCTAGCAGGCCGCTCTTGGGTGGAACGAGATCCAACAGCTGGGCAGAGACTAAAGCCATTCAGACCAGCAGGAAGGCACATGTTTGAGGGAGGGTGAACATCTTGCCCCGGTCACAGTGACTCTACCATGTGGAGTCCCAAAATCCACACCCAATGGCTGCCTCAGATCAGCTGTGGCCCACACACGAGTTCTGGGGCTGCAGCCAGAACAACTGGCTGAAGTTCTCTGGCTCGTGTTATGCTGGGGGACAGATGGGATGATTGCCATGACCGCTCCTAGCCTGCAGTAGGATCTGTCTGTTGGGAGGGAGATGGGCTCACTGAGAGCAGGCTCTCTTCATCTGACCCCTCCCCAGCGCGGCATGGAGTGCAGACCCAGACACTTGTTTTGCCCCATGGCTCTAGCTTTGCTTTGGCTCCCAGACCTTGGAGGCTGCTGTTGCAGGGAGACATCTATAGAAGTGAGTCCCAGTTTCCCTCCTCTTGCTGGAGAACGGGGGCAAGAATGAGACACTGCAGGGGGCGGCCCCTGCCGAATGCCAGGAGATGGGCTGGTCCCATGTCTGTGGGGGACAGGCTCGAGGTCCAGAAGCTAGGTCCCAGCAGGGAAGAAAGGGAGGACATTCCAGAGTGCGACTTTAATTTTCCTTCCATTGCTAACACAATGTGCAAGTCCATCAGTACCCATGTGTTTCAGTTGCACTGGCACAGTGTCCTAATAAACACCCCTCCTAGGCCTTGCTTCCTCCGTGACCAGCACAGAGTCATAGCAAAGCCAGGCTGGCAGGGCCCCCAGGGGGTCACATTCAGTCCAGCTTGCTGCTCCAGGCAGGATCCTCCCCATCTAAACCACCCCAGACAAGGGCTTGTCCAGCCTGCTCTTAAAAACTTTGGGAACAGCCCTTTGCCCACTGGCAGAGCACTGCCGTGCTGCTGGACAGCCGCACAGCCTCTGCTGGGCCTGTTTCCCCAGGGGCAGGAATGAAGGGCTAGCTGTTTGCACGTGATCCTTCACCATCGTTAGCAATTCCTGGAGAGTTCAGCAGAGCTGGGCTAAGAACATGTGACCCAACGCACAGGTCCATTACACGGAGGCGACGGGACAGCCCTGTCTGGACCGGGTGCTTGCTTTGGGCCTATGCTGGGCTAGGGCCAGGCTCTGGAAGGGAAGGATTCCTCCCTGTAAAGGACATTTTACCTCCCAGTATTTCACATCTGAGCCAGCTGCTGGCACCCAGCTAAGGGCTGGTGTCTGCCTCAAAACCTTGTGACCTCAATCCTTAACCTCTCACATCAGCTTGTCCCTGCTACATGTTCAGGTGTGTGGCCAGCCCACCTGGGTGGTACCCAGCCAACAGAGCTGGGGTGCAGGATGCTTTGGGGAGCTGCAGGGGCCAGGAGGCAAAGGGGAGCAGCTGGACTTAGACCGGTGCAGCTGCCCCACACTCAAGGGAACCTGAGGGCCTGCTGTGGCTACTGCAAAGGGAGTGAGACCAGATTTCTCTGCAGTGCAATGGCACTGAGATTTCAATGGCAGGTGTGGCCCTGAGATTCACCTCCCAGCATCTGGGTGCCCCTGAATCACAGGGATCGCTGCCATGGGGACCAGTGCTCTATTGCTGTGGGCAAGACAAAGCCAAAGAGTAAAGGTTCAGGGAAGAAAGAAGCTGCTGCTGCTGCTTTATGTGGCCTGCTCTTGAAGGGGGCACTATGATATGTCCCTGGCAGGGAAAGCTGGAGCCTGTAGTGTGCACAGAGCGTGCGGCCCGTCAGTGCCAGGCATGGATCAAAGAACAAATTCCCTTGTAGAGTCAGCAGCGTCAGTGAGAGGCAGGTGGGACTCTGCCGGGTTGGGCTGGCCCTGCCAGTGAACTCAGAGGACCCCACGACAGTCTGCACTGCAGGACCCGAGTCTTGCTACACGATGCCCTTCCTCAGGCACCTTGGCTTGCGGAAGATGCACCAGCCCAGCAGCAGCGCACCCACCAGCACCAGGGAAGACAGCACCATGAGCCCCACATAGCCGGCATGAGAGAGGGGCCGCATCAGGGACTGCTCTGCAGGGATCATGTTGGTCAGATTCAGCATATAGCCCAGAGTCCAGCCTGCATCACTGCTGCCAATCTGGAAAAGAGGACATGTCGCAACTGAACCCCAAGGGCTACCCAAAAGGCAGACAATGGGCTGGGGTAGAGCAAGGGGTCTGAAACAAGGTGTGTGTGTGCACCAGGCTAACACCCCTACAGGGAGTGGGTTGCTGTATGGGATGGGTGGTGCCACAGGCGAAGCGAGGCAGACAGCCGCTGCATACGTGAATACCTTTCCCAGGAACTGGATCTGCTGCCACGTCTCCAGACTGAACCCATAGCCAGTTTTCAGCAGGGAGATGATGTAGGTCCCTGAGAAGCAGTATTCACTGAGGTACTTCTCCTTTACCTGGGGATATGCTGCCTTCACCTGGAGGAGGAGCAGAGGGGGTCAATCACCTGCTGAGACCGCCAGGTTCATACAGGTCCGGCTTACCCTGAGGCATCGCTCCATGCACAAGGGGCATCTCCCGGTTCCTGTTCTACTGCCAGCATCGATCTAAGAGGGCTGGAGGCTGTTACCAGCTGTACAAGACTAGGGGAATACGCATGTCTAAACAGACTCTGCGCGGGGACCCCTCATCTGAAGAGATACCGGTTAGCTAAACTAAGGCTTGCTTCCTGCAGTCCTGAAGCTGGCAGCGGCAGACCACAGAAGTTATTCATGCTGGAAATCAGAGTACAGCAGACCCCTGCTACCATGGCTGCCATGAAGGTGAACTATCAAGGGAGCACGAGTGGGGAGCACTCCAGCTGCAGGGCTCTGTGCTGGGGTCCTCTGCACCACTGCAGGACACTGCTGTTGCTGATGGGCACCACCTACCTCAGACCAAGGTCTGGAGCAGAAGTTCTTCATGGTGCTTATCGCGCTATTCAGCGGGGCCGGGCTGCTCTCTGCTGACAGGTTCAGAAAGTTCATCACGAAGTAGAATGCAGAAAATGCCTGGAAGGGAGAGAGATCTTTGCTCTAGCTTGGGCAGCCGAGTCCTAACCCACAGTGCATCTCAAGAACATGAGACCTCCTCAGTGAATCAAGGTGCTTGAGGCAAACGGTCCCAGCACGCCATCGTACTCTATACATGTGGGGGCTGGGAGGAGGATTTTGCAGCCATGGTAGTTAGGATTATGGGCACCAAGTTTTCACCCTCCCATAGAGGCTGCATGTGGACGAGGGACCCAGTGTTCACCGTTTACTATTACAGGCAGGCTTGGTCACACTCTTTGTTCTGAAAGCAGCTTGACACTTCCCCTCAGATGACCCAAATTTTCAGCTGCTTAAATATTTAGCAAATGTGGCTAAATATCATGGGCTGGGAGTCTGATTTTGAGGGGTGCAGGAACCAAGGATGGATGGGGTGGGAGTGGGCACAGCAAAACCATTCAATGGTTTCAGAGAAGGTGCGAGGAAGGTGTTGTGCTTGTTTCTGGGTGTGCGACCCTCGGACACACTCTGCTCGGGAAAGGCTTTGGCAGGAGCAAACACCACCACGAGGCTGTGTAGCTAGCAGGTCTATTCATCTTGCAAACCCAATGACATGGCCTTGTGGGGACACAGCTATGTGGTGTCTGGCATTAATAGCTGAGGAAATGGGTCGGTGCCCATTGCCCTGGTGCCAGCAAGCTGAGCAGACAAGCACAGGGAGCTCAGTCTAAGCAGGCTGGTGATTCATACTCAAAACTAGGGATCGACGGAGGCTGAGGCCCAGCGTAGCCTAGATCTTGTCCATAAGGTGAGGGATGGCTCAGCTCCAGGCAGGGACCTGAGCCAGCACACAGCACAGCCAACACTGGCTCACGGGCACAACAGCTGCCTGCCGCTCAGGCCTGTGATGGGCAGTGTCAATGCACGCCTCGGTCCTTGCACACGGGTTCTGACTAAGCCTTACAGGGTCTCTCTGTACAGCAGCAGCCTCTCTGCACAGCCTAACCTCGCACCCAGGCCCGCACCGCCCCCGTCCCATTCACTGCAACATCCTGCTGGCAGCCCCACCTGCCTGCATCCATGCAGGACCCCGCTGCACAGAGCATTTCTCACCTGCTGCTTCAACCATGGCTCTCCAAGCATCGCTCCAGGGGCTCCCTCTTTTCTATTGTACCAAATGCTTTTCATTTTTCAAAAGCTCCTGCTGAGCCCCACCCGAGCTATCATCGGTCTCTCTGTGTCGGGGACAACTCCCTCCTCTGGTCAGCCCTTACTAGCAGCTTCACGCACCCACCTGTTACACTTCCTAGCAAACAGCACATTCATGCTCTCTCCTGTGCTGTCCCTCACTCTTGGACAGAGCCCCCCACAAACACCTGCAAGACTCCCTCGTTATCCTCCTTCAAACCCTTCCTCACACCTCTCCTTTGCCACGACACCTGCAATAACCCATGGCTGTGCTGATCCTCCATTTGGTGGACCAAACGTCGTCTCGGTGCTCTGAGCTCCCCGTGCACATGAACTCTCCACTTTCTTCTGCCTTTGGCTCGGATCGTAGCTCTTTGGAGCAGGGACATTTTGGCAAGTGTCCATCAGGGCTATGCCTGTACCTAGGCATCCTTGTGGTCCCCAGCAAGGGCACAAAGGCAGAGCAGCTGCCACCCTGCCATTTCCTGCAGCCAGCCGAAGCCTCCAGAATAGGGATGGAAAGCAGCTTAAGGAACTCATACAGAGAATGATAGCTACTGCAGGGCGAGGGGCTGCTCAGTCCTCTTGGGGCGTGTGCCAGCATGAGTGTCCCTGGAGGGGACTGGCTCACAATGCCCTCTTCCAGGTGACGGGTGGAAGACATGCCAGCTGCTAGTACCTGTCAGACAAAGGCTACAGCAGGGCCCTCCTCAAACCTGACAGCACACCTCGCAGCCAAGTCTGGTGCGTGCCACTTTACGAGTGGGCACAGACTGCTCCATGCAGCAGCCCTGCAGATTTTGGCTACAGCATGTCATGGATCCATGCAAGGAGGATGTCTAGACTCTGGTATGGGGAGCCTGGATAAGCAGGGAGGGAGGTCCATTTACCGGCTGACAGCAGACTGCATGCACCGAGTAATGACAGGCCAGTCTGGAAGCCTGGTCCTGCCAGCATTGCCCTGCTGGGCCTGGGGCTGCCTGGAGCATGCAGCACCCCTGCCTGCATGGATGGCGGCATTCAGAAGAGCGCAGGCAAGGCAACCAGCCTCAGCCAAGCTCAGGCACCATTTGTGGACCATTTCACATGAAGGCCCCAAGTCACCGCCTGTATGAAGTGAGGCCTGTGGGAATCACCGCAGGCATGATGCTCGCTGCTCTTCTGGCTGAGACTCTGGCCTCTGGGGAGAGATGGCAAAGGGTCTGCTCCCAGGGATATCCTCCCAGGGGGCTCCTCAAAGCTGCAGAGGCCACAAGGGTCCCACACCGGGCTGATAAGCCTGCCTGCGTCAGGCCCTGGGGAAACAGGTTCAGGAGGAGGAGTGGGAGTGGCTGTGCCAGGGGGTGGCGCATCAACACTGCCGTGGGGCAGGCCTGGAGCAAGGACCCAGCCTGTCCCCATCATTGGTACTGGCCTGCACAGCAACGAGCTGCCACAGCTGCTCTGGGAAACCTCTTCCACTCAGAGAGCAGGTCCCGGTGGACACCCCCTCCAAGCCAGGTTTCCCTGAATGGGCGGGCATAGTACCTCTGTGCAGTTCCCACCCAACCAGTGTCCAGGTGTGCAACTGGAACAACACTGGGTTTGGCTGGCTGCACGTCCCTGGTATTGGGACATACCTGGGCAGCCTGGGATGTCTGTTGTGGGTCCTGTTAACCAGGCTGCCAGCTACGACCTTCTCAGCCAGAGGATGAACCTGGCCTGGTCCCACCCAGCTTTGGCAACTGCATGGGAGATAAGCAGAATGGGTGGGAAGGTGTGAAGCAGGACTGGGCTCCACAGCAGACTGTGGTACGGTGCTGGAGTATGAATTTCAGGGAGCTTGGCCTCAGACTGGAGTCCTCAGGGATGTGGTACCCTGGCACTAAATAGCCCGTGCCCCAAAAGGGCAGATGCTCTAGAGTCACTTGGCCTTTGTCACAGATCCCAGACCTTCCAGTCAGGAGACCCAGTGCACTGTGGTCACCAGGGCCATAAGCCGTGTCTCCGACTTGGCCCCTTATAGTGCTATGTGGCTCTTCCTTGACAGTCTCTTTCAGTTCCTCCTTGCACTTTTGCAAGAACAGGGTCACCTGGTCCTACATGCAGAAGCTGCACTTGGTGAGCGAGGACTGCTAGCTTGTGACTCGGAAGAAGAGGCAGGCTGAAGAGCATGCCAGGGAGGTCTTTGGGGTATCCTCTGCAACACGGCCTTTCCTTGGGCTGCAGAAAGAACCAGTGACCCGTGGTGGGATGCAAAGAGGTGTTTGGAGCACTTGGTTGGGAAATGGGGCATTTCTCCACTCATTTCTGGCTGGAGGGAAGTGAGACAGCACCCTGCCAAAAGCCTGCGGCAGATCCAGCATGCCCTTGTTCTCAATTCCTGAAGGCAGGGTAAGGGCCAACAGGAACATTTGCTAGGGGTGCATCCTTCTCCACAACAGCAGCAACCTCTCCTGGGATTCAGGCTAGCACAGGAAGGGCAGGATTCACAGCCGATACACCAGCCAGCCTCCTCCTGCCCCCATGCTGCGTGGGTGGCAGGTGTGAGGGACGTCCCCTGCCGGCTCTTCCTTTTTTCGTTGTTGTTGTTGGGTTTTTTTCTTTTTTGAAACAACCAACTAAAACCATCAGTGTTCATTCCCAGTGCCAATGGGGTGGAGGACGTTTCTTCACTAAAGCAGGGTCTGAGGCCCCGACAAAGCTGGGGCCAGTTGGACACAAGCCAGGCTCCACCTCAGCCACAGACAGCGAGGGGGAAGAGAGCAGGGCTCTGGCCCTTCATGCTACACAGGAGCATGAGGTGGCTCACGCTGCATGCACAGCCCCCCGGGGCACAACATAGAAGTCTCCAGGCTCACATGCATCCTCCAGCGAGCCCCACACCAACACCAGTGCCTCGGTGTTCGCTGTGGCCAGGTCCGAGGCACCCGTCCATGAGTCTTGCAGTTCTCTGCCCACATGATACGTACAGGAGCATTTTGTATGTACATTTATAAACAGCCCCCACCACAAACAGCTTCCTCTTCTCCACCCAGGGCCGTGTCTTAAACCAGGCCCATGCTTATGGCTCCTGCTCTACGTGAACACGATGGACTAAAGAGATTCGACAAAAAAACCACAGACTCACCCCAAAGTGCCCTTGTAATGGAGGCAGGAAAATCCCATTGAAGGAGCATTTGGAGTAAGGACAAGAGGTTTTGTTGAAGAGTTCCTCGATGCGGGTTTGGCAGGCCTGATAATCCCCACTCCCCACAACGTGGAGCTGGGGGAACGCGAGGGACTGCTTGTAGTTAGCTGTACAGGGGCTTGCATAGAGGTCACGGATGCTCACGTTCCTCTCGTAGCCAGTGTGAAAGCAGGGATCCTGGAGCCGGCCCGTCTCGGCGTTCTGCAGGGAACACACCCAGGACATTACGCTCAACTCCAAAGAACAGCGCCACCAGGAACAGCGAGAGCGGACGGATGTGAGGAGATGGTGCTGATGCAAGGCACCAAGACCTCCCTCTGGAGAGGAGATCAGCATTAGGCCAGGACCCAGGGGCTGGGCGCTGGGTCCTACCCCGTCACGAGCTCCCCATGCCACAGTTCACCCCAAATCAGCCGCCATTTCGAAAATGTCGTTCTTAACCTCTCTGGCCCTCAATGCCCTCTTTAGATGATGTTTTCTCCTCCGCTGTTTGTGGGGCCCAACCTCTGGCTACGCTGGCTGGGCCACCGCGGCATGCGCTAAGGCAAGATGCCACCGCTGGGGAAGGCTGCAACATCTGCGCTGCAACCCCAGATGCTCTTACCTGCAAGTCTCTGACCAGCTTCATGCGCAGAGCCTGGTCCTTGCCGTAGCACAGGAAGCTGTGCGTGTACACGTTGTAGCTCTTGCCATAGAGGCGGAAGTGCAGTGAGTTTTCTTGAGACTCGCTCTGCTCCTGCTCTGGCACAAAGGTGATCTGTGTGGAAGCCCCACCGAGGTCCAGGGCTCCAACCGTCTCCTTGATGGAGGTCAGCTTGGGTAGGAAGTTCAGCCAGCCCGACTAAAAAGAACAGACGTGTGAGAAGGCTGAAGGGTTTGGGAGAAAGAAGGAGGTAGGATGAGGGCTGGGAGGAGAGAGCAGAGGGAGAAGAGACCTGGGGTATGGCCTGGGGATCAGGGCAGGACAAACTGCATGTTGAACACGGCAGAGCTATGAAATGGGCATTCAGAAGAGAGAGCAGATGGGCCAGGTCTGATATAAAGCCCGTGTTCATGGGGGGCTGATAAAGCTCATAAATATGTTATTTGATACATTAACTCCAAAGAGCCCCAGACACTTCCCAAATGCTATATAGAGGGATCAGTTTGCCAAGAACTGAAATGCTTCTGCCTCTGGGGTAGAACTTGGCAAACATTAACAGAGTGCAGCAGTAACTCGGGGCAGGAAACAAGGGGGAACCCTTGTCTACACGAGGCTGCAGGGGGAATTTGAGGCACTTCGTGTCACTGCGCTGACACCAGGTGTATTCATGTCGGAGGCGTGGGCCACACTGTGCCTCCAGCCCACAAGCAGAAGCTGCAGCACTGAGTCTCCCGACCAGTCCCTGGCAGCAGGATTTAGTGACACATGCTCTGGGGTCACTACTGATCCCAAGGGAAAAGCCCCGCACAAAGTTTGGGTGCCTGCAGAAGCCCTCGGGCCAGGGATGGTCCCCGGGGACCAGCAGCTGCATTCTGCCATGCTTTGTTGATACGTTACCTGCTTGAAGCTGCCCAGCAGGTAATTGATGGTGATCCAGCCATAGGCTCCTTCCTCCTGGCCAGTGATAATCCTGGCACCCTGGAAGTTGAAGGGGGATGAGCGGAGCTTGTTCTCCACTGCAGATAGGACCTCCATCGCTACATGCCTGTTGTCCAAGCTGAAGAACAGAGGAAAGGACTGAAGGACTCTGCTCTGTAAAATCTTAGCAGCCCCTTGGCTTTGCTCCAGGCTGCTAGTCTCAGCAAAATAGCTGTGACAGGCCGGTACGGCCGAAGTGCGCACAGGCTTTGACATCCTGCATGTTAGCGACACCACTGCTCACTGCCTCACGGTCTAGCTCACCCACCCCACCCCGATGCTTGCTTATGCCTGGCAGCTGTGCCTGCCTGCCCCATTTGAGGGGACATCTTCCAGAAGGAATCAGCCCAGTGGGTGTGTTGCCAGCTGCCGCCTCACCTTTACAGAAGGCACGCCAGCCGGCCCCAGCAGAAACTCCTCCAGAAACACTCATCTGGGTGCCACCCACCCAGCCAAAGCCACCCAGGGCAGGGATGAGGATATAGCCCTGGGGGTCCTTGTCTGGCTCTCTTGTTGGCTACATCTAGGCTCTGGGCTGCCCCCTCCCAGTGTCCCTGGGCTGGGCCTGGCAGAGCACATGATCACGGTGTAAGGACAGGATGGGACGGGGTGGGAAAGAGGTGAGGGGAGGAGAGAGAGGGAACCTGGTGAGAGTGCGGGGAATCGGGTGAGGAGGAGCAGAAGGCAAGGACGACTGGCAGCAGGATCCTGGAGACGCCACCCTCCCCGACCAGGCGTTTGCCATACCTGAGCAGCCGCATGCCAGCCGTTGCTCCGAGATAGACAGGCGTCTCCTGGTGCTGTTGCTGTGGAACCACCTCCTGGGCTCTCTCCAAGCAATGCTGCAGGGAGCGGCTAGCGTTCTGCACAGCCTGGGAATACCCCGAGATGCCTGGGCCTTGGGAAAGGAAGGAGGGGCATCAATTTCTTGCTCTCCAGATATCACCCTATGCACCACTCCTGCTTTCTACTACAGCAGCAGCAATATCCAAGATCCTGTTAAACCCACCCGTAACACCTATCCAAGTACAAACAAGGACTCATCCCACAGACTGCTAAGAATCCCATCGCAAACGTGATAAATGTACTAGGCAGGAACCTTCATTCCCATAGACCAGGGGTGGGCAAAATGCGACCCGTGGGCCAGATGAGGCCCACCAGGCCATGCTATCCAGCCCATAGGGCCCCTAAAAAATTTAGAAAATTAATATTTATCTGCCCCTGGCTGCCTATCATGTGACCCTCAAAGGCTTGCCAAAACTCAGTAAATGGACCTCTGCCCAAAATAATTGCCCGTCCCTGCCATAGACCCTGCCCTACAGACCCGTGACCTGCAAGGGTCACATGCATGCCCACAAATATGGGGAGAGAGCAGAACATTTGTGGAAAAACCCTAACCCAGAGAGGGACCCAGTACAGCACGTGAGGGGCAGCAAGGAAGCTAGGTGCAGTGGAAATTGTTAAGGAACTGCACGCACAGCAAGCTGCGGCAGGAACTAGGAACAGCACGGGACAGAGAGCGATGACTGGATGCTGTAGGATCAGGCCTGGGGGTCTTAGGGGAAGCCGCCAGGCCACAAGGGTCCCAGCAAGACCCTGGCCTGGAAGGATGCTAATTTGTGTTGCATCCCCACTGGAGCCTGAACCGGAGAGCCCCTGGGACACGCAGCATGAACAGCCGTGAGCCTTAACTGGTTCCCTGAGGGTCCAGAAGGAAGAGCCATGGTTTGAGCTGTAACCAGAAAGCTGCCGTTTGTGTTTGCAACCACACCCATTCTGGCTAGCTCCAGTAAAGTGTCTGTTACCTTTAGCCATGGTTGTTAGTGCCCACCTGGACTAGCATCAAGAGGGCCTAGCAACAACAGCACCTTCACACCTGTCTGCATTACAGCATGTGCTACTGGTACGTCAGTAGCTCGGTGTGCCACAGCACTGCCTAGTTCTCACTGCTGCAGTAAATTTGCACCCCGCAGGCACCACAGACCTCCCCTCGCTGCCCGTGCCTCACTGCACCATTGCGATGCCCCTTGGTATAGCCACCTCCGCATGTAGTTACACATAGTGCAGTACCCAGCTCTCCTCATCCGAGCAGCAGAGGCACCGCTGGTCAGCAGCTGGGTTAGTGATGCACACACAGATCAGCAATGACAGGCTTAGGCTCATTTGCAGTTTTTAAAAAAACAGACTCCAAATAGCAACTTAAAAACCAAGCCAAGCCCTTGGGTCAAGCAGCCGTGACAGCCCCTTCCCCCTACTCACCCATCTTGGAAATGCATGGGCTTGCACTGTGGCCTCCAAATCAGCTGATTTCACTTACTAAAGGATTTTTTCCAGCAAAGTCACTAGTAAACTTGTAGATGATGTAAAGTTGGGAAGTGGTAAACAACACCAGGAACTGCTCAGGTCACAAAGAGCAGTTGGAATTGCCTGGGACGAAGGGCTCATCTGCACAACATGTGTTGTAATGCAGTCCGATGTAAGGGCACACGGCCAAGTCTTGAGGGTGCAGGTCACATGGATAAAATGTGGGTTAGGATAGGGACTGGGGTTGTGGTGAGCTCCCAATGCCATGGGGTGGGTTAGAGGGTGACAGCTACCCTTGGATGTGTAAGCAGGGTATAGGTGAGCTGGAGTATACAGCTAGAGGTGACACCTCCACTGCAGAGAGAGATGGTTAGTCATGTTGGCTGAAGACGGGCAGAAGGAAGGGAAGAAATGCACCTTACAGACTAATTCAAGCAGAGAGGCATAAACCCATAAGGCTTATGCAGCAAAGTAAGCTGTTGTTTATGGAAGCTTATGCATCACTGATTGAGTCAGTCTATAAGGTGCAAATATCCAGCCTTCTACCTCTAGGCATGGTATCAGTAAGACTAGTAGTGGGTACTATGTCCATCTCTAGTGTCTGCACTTTGAAGAGACACTGAGCAATTGGAAATGGTCCAGATAAGCACTGCAAGGGTGATTCAGCTGAAGACCTGGCTCTCAGACTTTGAGAGCCTTAAGAAACGTACTGTATTTAGTTACCCAAAGGAAAATGAGTTGGCCTTGCTCTACAGGTGTCTACAGAGAAAAGAGATTTCTGGTAGCGAACTGATCTTTAATCTAGCAGATCAAGGCATCCTGAGATCCAGTGTGTGGAAGTTGAAGATGGATACATTCAGACTTCAAGTATGTACAGATTTTTAACAATGAGGTGGGTAACAATTGGAACAGCTCCCTTAGAACCACTTGAAGTCTTTAAAATCAAGACTGGATAATTTCTTGGAGATCGGTTGTAGCTCAGACAGAACTTCTGGGCTAGATGCAGAAATTACTGGACTGATATATGGAGAGTTAGACTAGATGATCTTAATGGTCTCTGAATCATGGTTCCTGCCTGCCATTGCATTTCCCATAGGCATTTCCCATAGGCCCCTCTCTAGTTGAAGGTGGAAGACCATAATAGCATTAGTCCCAGGCAGCTCCCGGGAACGTCTCAAACATTTGGGAAAGGATGAGCTCTGCTCCAAAGAGCTTAGAAAGCAAGGCCACATGCTTTGAGAGCCAGCATGTCAGGGGTGCAGAGTGAAGGCATCTCCATCAAAGTGTTCGACCTCAGATTCAGCCCTCCCAGCTCACCGCTCCCAGCAATGTCTCTCCAGTCAATAACTGCACATTCCAGGCAAATAACGGGCTATCGGTGGCTGGTCATCTATGATGAAGGTCAACGATTCAGCTGAGGATGTTCTATCTGCTGTTTTGTGCCACGGAAAGTCATATAAGCAGAGACCCAGAGGAATCGTGCTGTGCAGAGGCAGGTCTGCAGGGACGTGGGGATAAGAGCTGCCTGTAATGGGAGGCAGCATCTCATCCCGTTTAGCAGGAGCTGGCCAGGTTTAAGTCAGTCGTGTGCTGCTCACCACCCACCCACCCCCGAGGCAGATGGCACATCCCCATCAAGAAAGGAGGGAAATGGGACTGGATTTCTGAGAAGGAGGATCCAATTTGGTGCAAGGACTGTTTAGAGCAAATCCCAAACATGCCATGAAGCATTCGTTGCACTGCCCACTCCGCGGAGCTCCTTCCCCTGCTGTACTACTGGCTCTTCCCCCGGCCCCCGCACCCCAGCCTCCGCGGCCCTCTGCCCCGCAGTCTTACCTTCCACTTTACACACTTCTACCTGCTGCACCACCCCAGTGTCATTCTCCTTCTCTGCTGGCCACGCGTACACGTACAGGTTAGTGTGAGACGAGCCAGCATCCAGCACAATCCCGTACTGTGAACAAAATGAACCGGTCATTTCCCCTGGGCTGAGGCAGACAGCAAACACTCTCCAGCAGGGCTGGACAGTGGCTGGGCTGGTGCAAAGGGAGCACTCGTAAGAGCAGCTGCGTGACAGCAGAGCTGCGTCAGGACGGTAACAGCGAGGGCCTTCAGGAATACATCCTGCCGCTTGCCTTGTCCTGCGGTACGAAGTTCCCATCAAAGCAAACAGAGCAGCTCAGTCATATACTGATCACTAGGTGCATCCAGGGGGAAAACTGCCAATCCACTGCATCCCAGAAATCAGCTTGTTTTTATGAGGACATTTGAAGAGGGGGAAATTGCTGAGGTGTCGGGAAGCATCAGGGGAAAAGAGCAAGACCCGGTGTGCAGTTGCATGTATTGCAGCTCCCTAACCCCTGCCCCTCACCGGGATGTGCTTTCTCCTCCCAAGGCCCCTCTGCAAGGTACCTTAATGTTCTTTGGGAGCCACTGGTTCTGGGTCACTGCCACGGTGATTAAAGCGATCACAGCCAAAACAAAGAGGGAGCCCAGGATGAGCACAGCCATCTTCGGTTTGGCTGACGCCATCTTCGGTTTGGCACCTGTGACCACAGCAAAGAGTGTGTTAGGGACCACAGAGAGCCCTGGACACTGCAGCCAGCGGTGCTGGAGCAGCTAGCAGTGCTCTCCTGTCCTGCTGCAGCCCTGGCGTCTGGCAGCCTGGACCAGGGAACTGAGCAGAGGCAATGGTGAGACGCAGCAGACACAGTGGGGACTGCAGATACAGGGCAGCATCCGGGAGTGTGGATACTGCAGCAGCCTGGGTGCACCTGTCCCTGCACACTGGCCCTCATGCCACAGCTGAGGCAAGCCCTTGTCAATGAAACAGGAACATGAGGCTGGGAATGGAAAAAGTTCTGGTTCTGATGGCGACTGCCACTCAGCCACCTGTGGATGCAGCCTTCATGTCACCGCAGAGCAGCGCGCCCCCCACCCAGTCCCCCAGAGCCAGCCCCAGTGACTACCCGTTCCCCTCTGTCCTGACCCCAGACCAGCCATAGACACACACATGCCCCTGCCCAGTCCCCCAGGCCTTCCTGTCATCCTTCCACCCCTTGGTCTGGTCCTCAGCACCAGCTTGTCACCGTTCCCCGCCCCGGCCCGGCCCGGCCCCAGGCACACACAACCTTGCCCAGTCCCCCAAGTCAGCTCCAGTCCAGGCACCCTTCGGGACCCCCACTCCTCAACTACACTGCTCATCCTGGCACCAGGCACCCCTGGCTGAGGGTCCCATGCCCTGGGGCAACTCCAGTCACCCTCCTACCCCTGATTCCCAGTCTTTCCAGCTCTGCCCCTGGACTGGACTTTCATCCCTGGGAATCTGTGTGCGGACAGTGAACATTATTGAAATCCCCTCTGGTCCCCTTCCAAGACGTCGCCACTGCAATGAATACTCATTTCTGCTGCACCCCAGCCCTGAATACTTGTTCCCCCCACCCCATATCCGCTGTGGGGGACCTCTCAGAGGAAGCATCTGGCCCTGGCTCCTCCTGGCAGCAGACACAGGTGGAGTTGGCCTTGCTGGTGGCCCCGAGCTTTCTCTGTGGTGGCAGTAGGCTCCTTTCAGGGCTGTGGCAGGCTCCCCTCCATCCCAGCTGCCAGGGATGCAGCTGCCAGACCCGCATGACTTGCAAGCACTCTGCTCACCCCCGTCTAAGGAAACCTCCCCCTGTAAGGGCAGTGCTGTCCCCTGACACTCTGGGACTTTCCCCATCAGCTATTCCCCCAGAGGTGCAGATCTGGGAAAGCGGTACATGCCCTTGCCCCCATACCTACCCAGAGTCCCAGGAGGCCAAAGCACAGCCCTTGCACTCAGAACTGCCAGTGTCAGTGAGAGACTTTCATACATGGTCATGGTCAGCACAGCCAGCCCTCCCTTGCCCCCCCAGCCCAATGTTGGAGCCCAGCCCAGCTGTGCAAGTATGAAGCACCACCCTCCCAGATGCTGGAACCCAGCCCAGCTGTGCAAGTATCAAGCATCACCCTCCCAGATGTTGGAGCCCAGCCCAGCTGTGCAAGCCTCCGCTTCTAATTTTGGTCTCTCTGTGTTTTTGCCGGGGCTCCCGCTGGCTCCATTCAGACATTGGCTCAGGTCTGGAGCATAAACAGGATCTAAAGTCTTCTCTGGCCCCCACTTAGCTATCACTGAGCATAACTCTGGCAGCCATGGCAAGGCTGGGCGATCCCACAGCCGCACATCTCTGCGCTAGACAGATTGCACCAGGACGGAGCTGCACTAACATAGGAAGTAGCCAGGGAAAGCGAGGGCTCAGCACTGTCTCTCTTCCCGCACAGACCAAGGGCACAGGGCAAACGAGACTTTTTCCACACAGATACCACATCGAATCGGGGTCTCTGAGAGGATCAGAGCTCAGGGGAACAGCTGCCTGCCAGGCACATAGCCACAGGCCCATCAAACAGAGCAGAAGCCAACAGCAAACCACATCAAGCACAAACCGGAAAACCAGCTATCAGGAAAGGCAGCATGTGCTTGGCAGAGATGCCCTCTTCCAGGACAGGCAGACATGCATTTCAGGGTTATCTCAGGACTCAGACTCATCCACCGGAGCTGACACCAAGCTGCAGAGGGAGGGGGCTTCCAGCACCAGTGCCAGCATTTTGCCCAGCATCAGCTGAGGTCTGTTCTAGGCCCCCGACACCCAGCTCCAGAACCTCACTCCTCAGAGAATTAGAAACCTCTTTCTAATTTCCAGCCTAAATGTATTCATAGCTGTTTATCCCCTTTTATTCTCATGCCATTCTCCTTCAGCTTAAATGCCGGTAGCTCGTCCCCCGGTAGGTACTATCCTCCAGACATGTGTAACTGCAGACCTAGAGATAAGCAGTCACACACCATTAACAAACATTTATTGCCCACGAGCTTTGGGGAACTAGGGAGCAAGGCTGAACTCCACTGAGCCCTGCCCAGGGTCTGGGCAGCCATGGTCTTCCTCCAGCGGTGTCACTGCAATGGCTGGGAGCCAACAAACCGCCTTAGTTGTACAGGCAGAAGGCATAGCAGGGTGGCACCTTAGAGACTGACTGGCTTAGAAAGATGCAAGCGTTCACAGGCAACAGCTGTGCAGTTACTGCTAGGCCTGCAGGCCGGGATGCAGTCTGCAGCAGTCCTGAAACCCGCCCGACCCGATGATAAATGTCTCAAGGCTGAGGATGCCTCTGAAGAGGGAGCTCTGCAGACAAGCCGAGAGCCTGGGAACACTCTGATGGCAAGGGGTTCGCTGCAACCACATTGCCACAGCAACGCGCCAGGATTTACCTCAACCGCTGCCGCAGGAATCCACGAGGACGCGCATCGGCATCCCAGGGATTCCTGGCATTCCTCAGCCGTGAGCTGCCACGGCGGCCCAGAGCTGCACTCCACCCCGCCGCACGGCCCTGGCTGAGCAAACGGAGCCTCTGTCCAGATGAAACCTAAGTGGATGTGACACCATCTCCAGTCCAGGGGAGGTCTCCAGGCCTGGCTTTGGCCCCCACAGCCTCTAAACACTGCATGTAGGCTGGTGTTGCCAATGACCTGGCCATGGGGATCAAAGCCCTCAGGTCCCAAGTTCACAAACATCCTCAATCCTCAAGCTGAACTTGCCACTATCAGCTCCCCGCCTGCGCTCTGCCCCTTGCCTCCCTCCCCGCCCGCCTTCCTCTCTCTGTCGTGCTTAACCTCTGTCAGCTGCCTCCACTCACCCCTTCCAAATGCCATCCAAACCACGCGTCTCTTCCTTGGACCCACCCTGACTTTCTGGGTACATTGTGCAGCAAAAAGTGAAACAGTAAACCCTTCTGAAAGGTGCACGCACGCACACACACCCCCACGCATGCACACCCACACAGTGTTGTCTTAGTCAGTCAACACCCAGGGGCACAACCATAACCAGGGTAGCTCACACCACTTGGACCAAATACCTCCGGGGTCTGCAGGCTCACCTGCCACTTCTGCTTCACAGGTTCGTTTGCATTTGGAGGGTGGGGGTCAATTTGCAGCCGGCCAGGCCAGATGTGAGATCCCTGCAGTGAAATATCAGGATCCTGTGGCAAACACGGCTGAGCTGCACGTGGTCTTCGCCCTCAGATTTAAATGGCCTTGGCTTTTCAATCCGGGTGTAAAACCCTGGTGCTGCAGACAGATGTCATGTAGCAATCCAGGAGGTTCAGCTTTTCCAGAGGAAGTACGTTGCATGCGAACCTCGCTGGGCACAGCCTGTCGCAGCCTCATGCTTCTCCCTCTCAAGGACTGTGCCTGTTTCTTGGGGGCCCTGACTGCGTGCCCTCTCGCAGCTCTACCTGCAAGCATGAGAGCCTGCGGAGCCATGCTGATGTGGGCCAGTCCGTTGGTCACCGCCTCAGTCCCCTGCCACTGCAGGCCGCTAACAAAGCCAGAGCAGCCTCGACTCCACAGTCCCATTTGCTGCCACGAGAGCTGGGCTGGGCCTGGGCTGGGACAGAAGGGGACGCTGCTTTTCCCTCTTCTCTCCCGGCAAGTGCGACAGATGCCAGGGGTCCTGGGACACAACAAAAATCCCGTCCCAAATTTGTGTGGGCAGATGCTGGGTCTCTCCGACTGCCATAAATCAGAGCTGATAGTAGGGCGTAGGACCCACGGTATCAGCACAAGGCTCCTACTAGTTTTCTGGGCAGTGCGTGCCTGGCAGTCCTCTAGCCCCCAGCTGACCACAATAGAGGCTGCAGGGCCCTGGCACAAAGCACTGGGCACTGCCCTGGCCCCTTTCCTCCTTGCGTGGGCTGCGCAGGCTGGAAGGGGACACAGCCGGGCTCTGTGCACCGTGGACTCCCGCGCGCCTGCTTGTGTTGGCAGGAGGAGGAGGTCCGTTTCCGGTGAAGTGTCGTCATGGAGGTCACAGACAGGAATTCCCTGCAACCCAGCCAGCACCCGCTGACAATCTCCCCCATTCACCACAGCATCGCACTCCTTCCGTCCGGAGAAGTTCTCACCGTTCAGCCGCTGCTGCCGCGGCACAGAGCGCTCAGCCTGTCCAACAGCAGCTCCGCTCTCCCCACGTGTGCGCACGGCACAAGCGAGACCTCAGCCCCCACCCCACCGTGGCAGCCGTGCGGTGCAGGGCAGCCCTGTCCCCGGCAACCCCTGGCTGGCATTTTCCACCCCCAAACTGCCCTTGAACTCCCAGCCCAGTAATACATAAGATCCCAGGAACACAGAGGCAGAGGGGGCCCTCGGGCCATCCGGTCAAGCCCCTCGTGTTCATAGGCAAACATTAACCTAGGGAACCCCCCAAAACCCCTTTTGAAACCTTCTCACACAACAAGATGCAGCGGGAACACAGTATAACACCCCAGAGGGTAAGGGAAGAGGAAGGGCAGACAGAGCCAATGCCAGAACAGGGAGCAAGCTGCTGGTTCCCAGGTGCTCAGAGGGTTATACAAAGAGGACCATGCTCCATGCTACAGAAACCCTCACAGTCTGCGCCAGCCTGACCCGGGGGATAATTCCTTCCCAGTTCCAAATCCGGCGATCAGTCTGACCCTGGGCAGAACAGCAAGACCCTCT